GGACCGCAGCAATCACTTTAGCGTGAGAAGCAGCCCATGTGCCTCCACAGCGCCTGAATGCGCTTTGAATATTGCCTTGGTTGAAATCGCCGTTTTGAATTGCCGCTTTGAAAAAGGCAGCTCATGCGGCGTACCCAAGCGGTCTTTGTACGTTTCCCCTGGTTCAGGATAGAACTTGACAAAGTCACCTCGCCGCTCGGCCAGACTGCCGACTTCAGCAGCAACAGTTTCCGAGCACCTCATGTAAGCAACACCGAAACCAAAATCTGGGGCTGCATCGCAGGCCGTAAGCTGTGGGAGAAAGCGGCGGCGCAGGTCAGCGCCAAGCAGGGGAACTAAGAAAGTGGCAACTGCAACTTCTGTGCGCACATCAACCGGCAGCTCAACTTGGATATTATCAGGCGGCTGACGCACAAAACTGTAGACTGAATCAAACACACTGAAAAGCGGGCGCTGCAGGAGACAAAACCATTGATGCAGGCCTAAGGCTCGATTGATTCCAACTGGGGTGGCGCAACCCTTAGTCAATACATCAATCCAAGCTAAGAAAAGGCTACATAGTTTGCCAGGCGCAGGTTCCACAGTGCCTGACTTGCTGTCGATCACGCACCCCAAAGCTGTCATGGACGCCTGTAGGGACACATCCTTCGCTTCATTCTTTGGCATGCCATGCTGGGCCATGACGGTGTCAAGCATGTCAAGCCGTCGCTGGCCCATCTCACGGTCAAAATGAATAAAGAAAGTATCATCTGTGGCCACTCCGCAAGCTTCCGGCCCATTAGGGGGCGGCAGATCCATAGTCATGAAAGCGTCTTTCTCAACCCCTGCCTGCAGGCAGCAGGCCACTGTGGCTGCCTGTGCCACGCAGGAAGACCAACTGAACCCCATTGGCCACACCGTGCTAGCCGGATACAGCAAATCATGCTTACATACTCTCTCACTGCTGCAATCTGCAACATAAAGGAGCAGTTCTGTTGTTGGGATGCCTGCCACTTGAGACACCTCGTGCAGTGTCACTGGGGGACGTCCAAACCAAGGTTGCAAAGCAGGCGGCGCCTCTAGCACGTCAAAGCAAGTGTGGACATCGCGCTTTGGCATAAAAACTTCTTTGCCCTGTTCAAAAAAACAGATCGACAAAGCAAGCAGGATTTGCAAGGTATTGTGGTGCTGGAGGGCGTTCCGCCATGCTGGAAACCAAGGAACCGTTCCAGATTTCTCGTTGGCGCCCATGGCTCTTGGCTACTGCAAAAACTTCCCCCACGGCATGCACCACACGGCAGAGCATTGTTTTGCCGCACTGCAACAGTCGCCAAACCAACTTTACGTATTCCAGTCTTTCCTTCCCGGCAGGACGGAAACTTTCAACCGTCTCAGCGCCGCCCTCATGATGAAAAAGGAACTCAGGAGAGGATGTGGCCGTCGCAAGGCCTTCCGGAATGAGAAGGTTGGGATTGCAGGTGCCTGCTGAGGAAGGCAAATCAACCGCATCTGCGTTGAGCTGGGGGTACTGACTACCTGGCGAAACTTCAAAGTTGCGAAAAGCATCTAAGGCAGCACTGCCATCGCTTTGTAGAAAAACATCTAATTTCCACAAAAACATCGCGACTCGGTCGGCAACATGCCGTATGACTTCCATCTGTTGTTTGGTATGCTTGCAACCCCTTGTTCCAAAAAGCCGTCGGTGTTTAAAATCGAAAGCCAAAAAATTGAGGGAGGCAATGCACGCATTGAGCAACAAAAGATGTAGACCCGTGGGTGCCCCCATGGTTTTCAAGTCGAAACTCCACGCATGCACTGGGCCGATTGGAAAAATGTCTCGCTGCCTTCCATCGGGTGCCTCACGGGCGGTCACTTGCGACCAGTGCTGAAAATAGACACCGAAGTGGCTTTGCCTGCTGTGCAAAATGTGTTCAACAGCTCGCTCGACTTTCGCCATCGGGCCTGCTTCGTCCTGGAAAGCACTAGAGGGGCCTGGTGGCTTGTCATCATCCTGCTTCCCCTTCGTCCAACGCAAATGAGCACTTGCCCGAGCATGGTCACGCCTGCGCTTAGACGGAGAAGATCGGTTGACCAACAAACCAGGCGGCGGCCGGACTGTGAAAAGAGCAGCTGGAGAACGTGCAGCTATTCCATTGGCGGAAACCGAAAACTCCATGGAAAAGCTGACTAAGGAGAACCCAGCACCCGCCCTGCCAGAGATCATGCAAGTGCAGGTATGAAGCTCTTGAGAGAAGTGGCCACAACACAATTCAGCTGCGCGACTATCCATCCTGCTTCGAAAAAGACTGCAGCCCCTCTTTACTTCACAGGAACATTCAAACAGAAATCATCGTTCCATTAGGCAGAATATTACAACAAAATTGTACGACAGAGCAAAATCAGCATAGCATGTTGGGAGGTACTCCCGCCCAAACGGTTTTACTCCACCAGAAGGAACTGCTTCTGGTTTCGCTTCTGCTTTCTCCTGCAAGAGAACCGCCAAACGTTGTGTGCTCCCAGCAGCATTTGGCCTGGCATTTCAAGATCAATGAGAAAGAGCACATGTGAAAGAATTGGACAGTAAATATCAAAAGCACTCTTTCTCTATCTCTGCCTGGGCTGTGTGGTAGGTGCAGTGGGATGGGGATGGATGGGGCATCTGTTGGCAGGGCTTTTGTCAAACTTGCAGGCATCACTCAGGAATTGGTGCTCCCTTGGGAGTGCCACTCGTGGCCTGGAATGCGGCTCGTGCTGATTAAAAGAGTTCTTTGGCCAAGCCCACGGCATCCGAACGACCAAAGTTAGAAGTTTGAGAATTCAGAGAAAGGCAAAAGAGATTGCAGAATTGCATGCCTTTTACATGTTAAAAGAAGTCGTCGAAGGTAGATCTTAGGTCTTGGCCTGACCACTCTGTTTTGAAAGGGTTAAAGGGTTTTTGCTCACGCAAAACAGCGTCTTTGTTCGTGTTCCCATTCAACCCAAAGTTGTTTGTGTTCTTTTGTTCGTTTCTTTTCGGAAATTGTTCGTTCTTGACTCGAACCTGTTTGGCCAGCGCATTGGCCATGGCCTTCCTGGACATGATCTCACGACCTACAGGAACACATGACACATATGACATCCCGTATGCCGTATGACCATGATGTTCACATACATGTCACATGATGTTCGTAAGAACATTTTATACATGAATTCACAGTTCACATGGCAGCAGCAGGTTACATTTACAAACAATCCCGATTGTTTCTGGGTGCATCACAGCTGAAGGTTACAGTGGCATGTTGAGGCAAACAGACTTGACATCTGCTAGAGACATGTTTCTCGGAACTGAAAGAGAAACAAATTGAACTTGTCAATACTTGGAAGCCATCGCCAGGTTTGGGTAAAGTCTTTGGCCAAGCTTCTGGCCTGTTCGCCTTTGACCGATGGATTCCAGAAAGATCTGCATCCTCCGAAAAAGAACGAGGCCGAAACGGTACGCTGACGCGTTCATCGAAGGGATGGTCGGACATCGCTCTTGGACCCCAACCCAATGACAATGGCAATGTCCAGGAAAAAGATACAAACCTGGCATTTGGCATTGATGGCATTGGGAAATAGGAACAAACACATGAATCAAAGCTGACATCTTCATGCATTTGCTGTAGATATCTGATCAACATGACTGGATGACCCAGAAGAGCCACCTTGGATACAACATGACTATGAAACACACCTCCAAGAAAGAGCCGGAAAAACGTGTTCAATTGGGGCTAGCGTGTCTATCTGTTCAATTGGGAGCCCGCACGTCATGCATGACCAAATCCATGCAAAAACCGCTCTCACACCCTGAGGCAAATGGGGCGCAAACTATTGGGACAGTGGCCCACAGCCCACAAATGAAACACGGATCAATAGAACATCTATTCAATAGTGATGGCCTCCAACTTAATAGCGATGGCCTCCAACCTATAT